CTCTCATGAGTTTCAATACGGCAACATTCAAAATAATGGGCAACATTATAATTTTATGCAGTGGACTGTATCTTAATGGATTGGTAGGTTATGCTGATTGTGCGAAAATAGCTTCCCGTCTTTATGCCAGCTTACATCTTTTGGTTACTTTTAGGGCCCTCAGGTGCTGGCGGTGTGTCTAGAGTGGTTGCCAGCGAAGAAGTGACTCCGAGAAAACCAGAAGTTCTTGAGGATTAAGTGTTATCTTTTAGATCCTCTGATCTGCCCCCACCACTCGCCGTAACGCGGGAAATTCAAACCATTTTTGGCACAAAAACTTAGGTAACGCTTAATCTAATAGTCCGTGGTAGTACTTCTTAAATAGTTTCATTTCATCGTAATCTGATTTTATCTACGAAAACTCTTGGAATTGGGGCGTTTTCAATCTGGAGGGAGGCAAAATTTGTCCATTTAATTAATTACTAAAATCTCGTAAATACCCATTAGATTTCTACTTGGATCGTAAGATAATTTGATCACAATATTGAGAAAGAAGGTGGCCTTAAAAAATATTGAGCCGTTTGGCGTGACCTACACCGGCAAATTTTCAAAATAATGAGGTTATATAGGACAAACGGCCCAATATTTTTGTAGGCCACCTTTTTTTTATCGATTTCGTGATCAAATTATCTTACGATCCAAGTAGAAAGCAAATGTGTATTTACGCCCTAATTCCAAGAATTTTCGTAAATAAAATAGTTGTAAGTTAAGATGAAACGAAACTATTTACGAAGTTTCATGCGGGTTTTAATAATTCGTTCAAAAGAGGTCTGTACCACAGACTAGAACAGTAGTCATTTAAATTTTCAATAGAGAATGAATGGTAAGTGTGCTTCTAAAAGAAGGGAAAAAAATGTAACTGCTTCTAATTGTGATTTGATCCTGTTACTGTAGAGTGACATGATTGTGACGGGAATTTCGAAATGAGCCATATGTAATTTATGTAATCTAAAGTGGTACGGAGGAAGTAATGGCGTATAATGTGAATGCGAATGAAGACAATGATGGAGGCAAAAACTTCTCCAGCCCGCTGCTAGCAGTAGATGACCACGGAGCCATTGTCCCGTGTCCGCTAGCTATGAGCAGTCAATAGTACACTTAGTATTCCGGCAATGGGGGTACTGCTAACGGTCTTCGAACCTGGGTGGCCTGCGTACCTTCGGGTCGGTGGAGGTTATCGGCTGTTCAAAGTACCTAATAGTTATTTATTTATAACAAGATCATTTATAATTCCTATGTATGGTATGTTATTTCTACTCTATAGGCGCAGACTTCGGGTATAGCAGAGGGGGGGGGGAGGAGGAAGAAGATATGGGACAAGAATATTATTCTGTCTTCCCCTCCTATAATTCGAAGCAAACGATTTTTTAAATAAAATGTAAATCCACATCCACATCCACACATATCCACACATATATTATTACAGCAAGGCTAGAAATCGGTTTTGTACCAAATATAAGCTCCTGTCATGCTCAAATACCCTGAATGGGGTACCGTTGGATTCAGAATTTCACGGGAGGTTAGCGAATCGTATTCTCCACTTTTGTTTTTCTTTCTAAAATAAATAAAGTCGATACGAACATTTTGCTTTTCTTCGTTACTGGAACGGTGGTAGGTGTGTAGATCGATAAGGGACAAATTGGATCTTGAAGATTTTGATGCGTACAGCAAGACCCGGATAGTTCCTCCGGAACTATCGGAACCTGCGTTTTTAAGCCAAAAAACGTATTATTTTCGAGATAACGCAAGGGATAGCGTTCGCATCCACAGAACCTTACATTAATTGTAGTACTGTCATTGAATACATGTCTCATTTCGTCGTCTTGAGGTCTCGATGATCGAGAGAGAAGGGGTTTATATTATTTATCGATGGTGTTTTTGATCGGCAAGCCATATCACCGTTAATTTTTCACCAAATCTCAAGATTGAGCCACCGATTTCGAAGGCTTGCTTCTCATTCAGGCGGGCCAATCACCCCGAAAATTGAGGCAAACAAGTTATGAAAGAAAACCAACTTTAGTTGCGAATAACTAAAAAAATACACACTTTTCCCTGGGTTGTGTCCATGATTATATGAAATATTACTTAATTCCCTACAGGAAAAAAATCATCGAAATCGGACAATTTTTAGCAAAGATACAGCTTACTGAAATTTGGAAGCATGTTGGTTCCAAACAAAAATGTAGATTTAAATTAATTTTTGTTTTCTTTGTCAATTACATTTATCGATAAAGTAACATTGTATTTCTTTACCTTTTGATATGTTGCATTATTTTATTTTCTTATTAATTTAGCATTTGATAACAATATGCTGTGCGAATTTTTCGCACGGGCCTACTAGTTATGAACAAATAAGATACACGGCCCAATCAAGGAAGGATTCATTACCAAATAAAAACCAATGCAGGTCTTAAGAATCTATATCGGAACCTAGTATAGTCCATTGCATTAAAAAGGGAAGAATACGATTGCTGGGCCATATTTATCGGATGAGTCAAAAAAGATTTCCAAAGCAAATAATATAAGGACGTCCAGATGGAGAAAGAGGAAAAGGCAGGCCTAGACTACTATGGACGTACGATGTAAATATGTATTCTATTACCGACAATCAATTAAAATCCTAAAAATGTATATAATGATGGGAAAAAAACCTGAGGGACACAACTTTCACTTATCGCTATACTTTGAATAGAAATAATTTGCTGGCAATGCTGGGCTATTATAAAATTGTTGATGTGTATTATAAACGGAGCTAAAGCTTTAAGCTTACAGATAACAAATCATTAAGGTCATTAAAACTACAAAAAGTCTATTTTTTATATCGATGGTAGGCATTTAAAAATCCAGTTACTCTATCCAACCACACAACTTCAGTCTCTGAGCCTTTCAGTTGACAGAATGACTAACTCCAAGTTAAACATTTTTGAGCAATGCCATTTTAGAGATATTTCTAGTTAGAAAAGTTATATCTATATAGACAATGAGTAAGTTGATTCCAGCGAAGGTGATTGCAGTGTTGAAGTATAGAACTGTGAATAAAGGTATAAATTTTACAACTAGAAACATCACTAAAATTAATAATAAACAATGTTGAAATTGGAGTTAGTCATTCTGCCAACCCAAAGGCCTAGAGATATTTGAAATATACCTAGAGGGATTTGAAAGTACTGTATATCAAAATATTTAACCTATAAATGATTATATATTAAATTGTTATTTTCCATTGTAAAGTTTACTAAAATGAAATTACGAGATTTTCAATGCCTGCCATGGATAGGTCAAAAGTTGTCACACTAATTGTAAGTGGACAATGTTGGGCTTTCACAAAGCGAAAATTTAACAAATTATTTACTAATTTAATTTTCTAAAAGGTTACTTGATGATTTTTACTTTCACTTACGTATATATGTAATACATAGTAAGGGTAAGTATTGCGATCGAGAACATTTTTTGGAATAAACGGCAAATAGATACCTAATTATTTAAATATAACATCATATCTTGAGTTATTAAACTACAGTAAATGTATTTAAGGTTGTAAATATATCCATGGAATATTTTTATATTTCACTACTTCTATCACACAAGTAAAATGAAATAGTGTTTTAAACAATAACATTGCCTTGATTCGGTGGATTTTAAATACTTTTTTCTAAAACTTAAAATTTTTTTTAAAAGTTTACGTTTAGTAAGAAAATTTCCTTGGAAACATGTGATTTATGTTAGATAAAGTTACTTTTCTGAAATTATTATTTACATTTTTTTGTTACCCTCTGTCACCTTCTACAACTTTTTTTATTTGACTTTTTTTTTCTAAAATTCTCCGCTATACTACGATATACTATACGTAAACCTTCTGACTATTATTTCCGGAGATCCATTTTCGGTCTGGATAAGAATTTTTCTTTTTTTCTCCTTTATTTAACTATCGAATTCTCTCAAAAGTTATATATAGCCATTTTTTGTAGTTATTGTCTATAAAATAGAGTTCTATTTTCAAAATAAACCATATTAAAGGTACTTTAGAGGAAGACGTATATCATCATTGGGCATATAAGCCCTGTAAAATGACACCAATGGGAATTAGACCTCAATGATATTAAAGACCACTTAATTATCTAATGATACACCGAGTTTAATCAAAATCGTTAAGAACCGTTTTTGATAAAAATTGTAAAAATGTGTTTCAGCGTTGATATAAAGTTGTACTTCTAGTTATCCGATTTTAAAGGAAAAGTTGCTGTGACATCTAAGGCATATTTATAGGCACGTTTATTTTCAATTTTTTATTTTTATTATTTACTGATTTAAATTAGGAAATAACTTATAATTTCATTTATTATGACTATTTAATTACTCTATATTTGTTTATGTATCTCTGAGGCTCCTTAGCCCACATTTTTGTCTTTCTGCATTATTCTAAAGGAACTCGTCCCAGAATAAATAAAGCATTATTATTATCATAGTTAAACAAAACAGTAACTTACTTCTATAACCTTTCAAGTACATAGAACGTGAATTATGCTTACCTCACTTAGGGTCAGTTGCTCCAACTCAGCAAAGCTTAGATTAAGCGTTATCTAAGATTAAACCAAGTTTAATATTGATCGGTCGATCTTATAAAACTTGGTTAATCTTAGATAATACTTAATCTAAGCTTTACTGAGTTGGAGGAACTGGCCCTTAGTTTTAGTAACCATCTGATAAATTAATCCAGTGAAAAAAGACATTGAGTATCAGATAGTGACTTTTTGCTCTTTAAAAGCAGAACATCCTGAACTTACTGAATTTATTTTTTACGTATAAAAAGAATTGTATTATTTTTATGCACTTAATGAGTTATTGTATCGATAAATATGATCGAAATTAACAACTACGTGCCTTCTGGTAAAAATCGGCTAAAAGTGTACTTGGTGAATTTGTGCAATAAATCGGCGATATATAAATTTTATAAGAGGAGATAGTTCCTGATCATATGTACGAGATAACACATGATGAGTAAATTCGTCAAAGTACCTACACTCGGCGACGGAAATAATTCTGTAAAATGGATGCTAATAGGGAGATTGAAGGATATTCGATAGCAGAATCAATTGGATCAGTTGAAATCAGACCAAAGAAACATTCGAAATCGAAGATCGCTAAACCAGCCGAAATAGTTCTGTCTGAACCTACGTTGGAAGGTATTGCGCAATATATTATAAAAAAACCCTGCAAGAACATTGTTGTACTTTCCGGTGCTGGAATATCCACCAACAGTGGATTACCAGATGTAAGGACCCCAGGTACGGGACTGTACTATACGTTGGATGCTACCACCGTTCCATATCCTCACGCCCTGTTCGAAATAAGAAGTTTCCGGAAGAATCCCAGAGCCCTTTACAAGATGATATATCCATATCTTCAGGGTAACTACAAACCAACTCTCTGCCATTACTTTATAACTCTTCTGCAGAGAAAAAAGATCCTTTTGAAGAACTATACCCAGAATGCGGATGACCTGGAGAAGCTTGCTGGGATTAGTGAAGACAAGCTTGGACAAATTTATGGAACATTTAATGAGTTTGTTTGTTTTTTATTTTGTATTTATACATTTATAATAGAGGTCTCAGTAGTTTTAAAGTTTTATCTACTTACAAAAAATGTTTTATAAACAATTTTTTTATTACTTAGTTGTTTATAGTATTCTAGAGATTTTGCCACTTTTTTTCGGTCTAGCCAGTCTTCCACTCGAAGATCTCTGGCAGCCATGCCTTTCTCAACATCCTATGTCCATTTCTTCCTTGGTTGTCCTCTTTTTCGCCTTTCTATCTGTTGATAGTGAAAGGTTAATTTTGGCCATCGCTCCTCCGTCTATAAATGGTAAATGGTAGTACAATTTCAGTATTTTTTTCGCCTATTTTTGTTGGGGCTTGAAAATGTCACTCATTGATTTAAATAAACCTTTTTATTTTTAAAAATAATAGTTTAAATGCTAAATTTTCCTACTCTTTTTGGCAACGATTCTTTTCCTAAAGAGTGAAGAATTCAATTTTATAGAAAAATTTCTATTAACGCAATTTTTTTTCTTTCCTGTTGACTTCACAGACTTTTTTGATGTTTGTCCACTTGAACTAGCCTTACCCACCTTTCACTATTTTGGAGCACTGTTTTCTAGTTTGCTGCATTATGCTTTGCAGCATCTTTGTTGATTCTATCTATCACTCCTCAACTCTTGGCACTTCTCGACCTCCTCCTGCAAGAAGATAAGACTAAGTATATTCTTAAAAAAGAAGTCTCAGCAAACCCTCTGGAAAATTTCCAAGAAAAAATTTTGGCAGATCCATCTAAATCGAAAATAATAATACGAGAGGACACCATTGAGCAGTGAAATCGGCGGTGGATAATGCAACATGGCAACCCATGGTTACAGTGATTTATTTAACACCTGGTTGAGAATAGTCACTTGTCTTTCGTTCTCGTATAGCGTACTTGTTCCAAGGAGAGGTTTTTCGTCGTATCGATAATGGTTAATTTTTTATTTAATACTACGATTATTTACAAAAGAGCGTACTACGAGTAGTACTACGATTAAACACAGATATGTTTAATTGTTTTTAGTACCGGGGATAAGCTCGCATTTTGGATTAAGTCTACCGGAAATAATTTCGCATTTTGGACCAAATTCACTGGAAATAATCTCGCATTTTGGACCTAATCTACCTCTGGACCTATTTTTGGATATTCTCACGTTCACGGTCATCCTTTATCATCTAGACGTCGGAGTAGAGAAATTGATGTCCAAATTGTTTTGCAGCATCAGTAAACCAAGATATAATAGAGACGGAAATTAACCCTCTATGTCCCTGTTCTAGTTTTCCGGAAACTGTTGATCATGTCCCATCATCATGAATATCCCATCATGAATTCTTGAATAATAATAGCCAAACTACTGAGGGAAACCGGACTCTACATCATCACGGAGGACGATTTTCTTCAGCTTGAAAGCAAGGATAATTACTTTTACAATGAATTTTTCGTGTACGGGTGGAAGGAATTAGTGGGGCTTGATCATTTCAACTTCTTCTAATGAAGGAAATGAAAAATGAGAGAATAGGTGGTAGAAGTATCGCTCTCCTCATAACAAAAATCTGTGTAGCCGAGAGACAAGGGAAGGTGAAATAAATAAAATTTCTGGGGTACTGTCCTGTACGGTTAGTGTCCTGGTCTCGCAGTCGTATATCAGAACTGCCTTATCATAACATTTTGCACAATTGATTTCAAGACATTATTAAGGATTTGCAAACACTTGAAAGAGAAAAAAAAAACTCTGTTTCCACTTATTATACGCTTGTATATCTCAGATTGTTGGTCATTGAATGCATGAAGTTACTGTAGAGTCTTGGTATTTGAATTTGCCTACTCTCAGCACTATCGGATCTATCCGGGAGCTACCACTTCCCCTGAAAGCTGATACAAAATTCCCAAAAAGCAGCTATTTAAAGAAAAGAGTTGTAGTTTTGATGTAGTTTTTGGGTCGCCATGAGTTCCTATTGACACCGAACACACAGGTGAAAGGTAAAGGTGTTTTGCAGGTGAAATACATGCTACAGGGAAATTTATTTTAAAAAAAAATGAACTTCATTTATTCTTTCGAACAAACTTTTATTCGAACACAGGAAAATACGGATTTTCTCCCGGACACAGTTTTTATTCAGTCTTCATAGATCTGGACGCATTGCAATCTCCAGTAACTATAGTCTCCTTGAAGAATTCATGCGATTCATAAAACTGGTCACGATAATAATTTGTTTATTTCTCATTCGATAGTGTTATTATTTTCTTTAAAAAACTGCTGTTGGGAATGTTTTCATGAAGGAAGGTGCTAATTACCTATTTGGTATTCGATTTGATCGGAATCTGATTATGATCGGAATCGGAAAATATTCTCAGTTTTTTTTATTAAACATTAGCGTTTATTGATCATGGTTATCGACCATATCACTTATCAAATTATTATGTTTAGGTACTTGTTCGACGCACAATTAGACTTTATTTAATTTCTTAATGAACACGTTTTTCACTTTGATGCATTGTTCAGTAGTAATAAATGACAAAAAAAAGGACAGATAAATCTGCATTTTTGGTTGTAAAAAGTTTTCTATTGGTGACTTATGTTAGAAATTTAGTTTTTTACGTGTCTAAACCCATACATAGGGTGTCTCGTAAGTAGAGAATATTTAAAGGAGTGATAGCAGAACTCATTAAATACAAACGTGTTTATATAAACAATGATTCGATTTTCAGTAGGAAAGTAGGGTTTTCCTACTTTTAACCCTACTTTAACACAAAATTAAAGTGTTGTGATTTTTTATGTAAGTCATGGTTTTTGTTGAATACTATTTAATTTAAGTAATTAAAAATTGCTTCACTGTTAACTAGACAAAATTTACTTTAAAAAAAAAAGAGTTTGCTTTGGTTAAAGCCATTTGAAGAGGACTTTTGAGCGACCTAACTCAGCTAAGAAATGGGGGGGGGGAGATGGGTAGTGGCGAGGGAACGGGTAGGGGTGGGGAAACCACCTGGTACAGAGGTACGTCCTCCTGAGAAAATTCCTGAATCCGCCATTGACTTTCAGTAATGATTTTCCATTCACGCAGATCCTTCTGTTAGGATGGGCTTTTGTTTTTTTTTCTTTCACTTGTAGGATTTGTTCTGGTTCTCAGAAATTCTTTCAATGTTCTCTTGATTACTCCCAAGGACAACTATATCATCTACATATCTAAGGACCTCATTATCAAAGACTATTCCTATAAATAAAGGGGAAAAAGACTCAATAAGTGTTTTAGATAAAAATTTATTTTTATTTTTTATTCTTCTCGTAGGTTTCGCTGCCTCTTGTGTAAGGATGAATCATCGTCACGCTGGATAAAGCTTAAATTAGATGGTGGCCAAACTCCGAAATGTGCATGCGGTGGTCTCATCAAGCCGAAACTGTTCTTCTACGGAGAGGCACTTCCGCAGTTGTTCTGCCACAACATGGCCGAGGATATGAAGAATTGTGATCTTCTGATGATCATAGGTTCTTCCCTCAGCGACGAACCAGTAGCCTCTATGCCCTTCTTCGTCGACAAGAACTGCCCGAGGCTGGTTATTAATGGGACACCACTGAGCAAGTCCTTAGGCTTCGACTTCAGCAGCCGGGTGCCCAAGGATGTCTTTTGGAAAGGCGACTGTGAAGATGGCTGTGTGAAGCTGGCCGAACTGTTAGGATGGTCTGGGAACCTTCATGCGGTACAACAGGATTCGCTGAACAGCAATTTGTTCAAAAGGTCATGTTAAATATATTTTATAACCAACTAACGAATATTGAAATAAATAATGTTTTACCATTGTATTATTTGTGTACTCGTATACACCACCGAGAACATTAGATATCCTGGAATAAATGAGATCAGTGAAACATGAGCATTCCTATATATAGGGTGTTTTAATGTTAAGTGGCCAAACTGCAAAAATTAACTAAGGATCTCAAACCATGAGAAAAATTTCTTTTGGAGGTATGTCCGCAAACACTTTGTTTAGGAGATATTCACATCTAAAGATTTTCGTTGTTATGAATTATTTACGTTATATGAAATAAATAAAATCTATTTATTTCTTCTAATTACTTTATTAATAAATGTAAACATTAACATTCATATTAAATGTTGTTGAAAGTGATTTCCTTGAGTATTCAGACAGGCTCGGCACCTTTCTTCAACTTGAGCAGTGGCAGAACGGCACTATTTGTAAATGGAAGACATGATGATCAGTGCTCTGCGAAAGCCTCTTACAAACCGATAAATGTTATTGGATGCTAATTCCAAATAGTATTAATCCTTATGTTGCAGTTAGGGACAAAAGGCCTTATTGTTATTCTATCTAATTCCTCCTAAACAAAGTGATTGCAGACATATCTTCAATTTGAACATTTAATATGTATGTTAATGTTCACATTTAATTAATAAAGTAGTTAGAACAAATAAATAGGTTTTATTTATTTTAGGTGTGAATATCTCCTAAACAAAGCGTTTGCGGACATACCTTCAGATGAAATTTTTTTCTTGTTTTGAGGCCCTTTCATTTTTTTTGTTCATTTTTAGTTCATTTTTTTTTTTTTTTTTTTTTTTTGTTCAGTTTGGATACTTAACCCTGAAACACCCTGTATAAAATAAAATTATCGAGATAGTCTATTCAACATACATACTTAGTTGGCGAAGGTTCATACTTTACCCAGACTATTAAAGTAACAATTTACTTAAGTTTTTAGCTTGTCCCACAGGAAGATATTCCTCCAATTTAATAGTAACGCAATAAGAAACATCTATCTCTAAACTTATACAAATCCATTATCATAGTCGACCAAGATCTACGATTACCTGTTTGGTCCAAAAGAACCTTGGTTTATAGAACCTTTTCATTAAAACCTAAACTTATGATAAGTACCCCATGATAACCACAGTACTTTAAAAGTTTTCGGCAAGAATTACGCTTTATATCGAAAATAGTCAATGTTAGGAATTTAAAACGCATGGTCTGGATCTTGATATCTGGGTCAAAAATCTTTATAACACAATTTAACCAGTCTCGATAATATTTTTTATTCCTTGAAATTTCTTTAATGACTTTTATTGTTCTTGTAGCAGGATTTTAAGTTTTGAAATTGGGGTTCGTTATCCATACAATTCCGTTTTGTTTGATACCTTCCTCATCATAATCCATCATTTCGAAGAGCCGGAAAAGTTACCTATACTAACTTATTATATTTAGTGTAGATTTTTTTTGTATAGTTTATTTTACATGATCCATGTACATAAAACTATTAAAGTATTATAATTCTTATAAATTAGACTTTAGTCATAATATAAAATTAAATGTTCCTAGATACCAGACAGATACCGTCCACTACCTTGGTCTGACATTTGACCAAAAAATGACTTGGGACCCACATATAATAAAGAAAAACACTAAATCAAAGACTCAAAATTCTGAACTCACTTCTTTCGAAACGTTCAAAACTAAAACTTAGACAGAAATTGAACACATACAATTAGTTACTAAAACCTATTTGGACTAACGCATCACAGATATTTGGAACAGACTCACATAAAGAAACTTCAAATCTTTTTCAAGCACAAACATTCCGGACAATCACAAAAGCACTTTGGTACTTTAGCAACATAATCTTACATACTGACCTCCTCCATATGCCGACTGTTAATACGAACATACGAACTCATTACGAACGATTCCACGACAATTTACAAGACATTCTAACACATTCATAAATGACATGACCACCACGCAAATGCCAGGTAGCGTCCGTAGGAGGCTGAAGAGGAGCTGGATGATGGACCTCCTCGCCTAAGGTAGATATCACGCTAGGAGGAGGTGCCGCTGGGTACTGCTCTCTCTCTCATGCCTTACATGCCACTATGTTTTTTTCCACTATCACCACATTCACTGGTTGTCATTATGACAGCTGTGAATAAAAAAATAAAAGTTAAAAAAAATCTCCCAATGAATAACTTAAAACGAAATAAAAAATAAACAATACATAAGATAAATTATAAAGAAATTAAAACAGAAAACACATAGTTAAGAACGAAATCTCTACAATAAAATTAATAATCACTAAAGTCTTCTTGTAGGAGTTGGAAATCAACTTCAACAGTAATTTTATCATCTCCTTTTTATTTTTGAAAATATTCTCTTCTCTTAGCGGCCAGTTATCGCCTTGGAGAACTATGCTTCTTATTAAATTATGGTGTTTACTGTCAAATATAGGACAGTCGTAAAGAATATGATGAAATGTCAGAGAAATACAAAATTTTCAACAAAAATTCGCTTTTTCCATAGTTAAACCCGTGTAAATTTGTAGTGTGTACTTATGATTTAGTCATAATTGGTATGTGTAACTTCTAAAACAATTTTTCGAAGTGGTCGTCCTTTGGTTATTTGATGGCATAATAAAATCCTGTTATTATAGATTTATAGACCATATATTCATTATATTTTCATGCTCTAATATTGAAATAAATAGGCAACAAAACTCCAATTGCGAAATTATTTGAAATTAAGGAGATTCGTTAACCAATTATAGTCCATACAATTGCGTCTTCACAATTACGTATCACAACTCCTACGGTTTCAAATATGAAGGACTGCTTTGAAACCAAATAAATTAAAAGCAGTAGACAATCACAACCTCTCAATATCTCTATATTTACTTGGAGCATTAAAGTAAAATATTATAGACTTCATCTTTTATAAAACTGTGACGAAATTCACTTACGTTACTTTAATCAATCTCACAATTAACAAGACTTATATTATTGAACAAAAAGAAATCAACTAAACCATTCTCCTTCAAAAATCCATATTTTGTACCATTCGCAGGGCTCGAAACGGAAAAACTTTTAGTTTTAAAAGGTTTCGATATCACCGGAATTTTTACTGTCGATAACTTTTCAGTATCTTTGTCACTAGAACTTTTTTCCAAGCAACTTTTTAAGTAAAGGTTTTACAGAACTTTTATTTAAAAAAAAATTCTTATTTAAAAGATTTATCGATTTTTCTAAAAAGTCCATAGAAAATATGACTTTTATTCATAGACACTCAAACAAACGACACATTAGAATCATGTATAATTCATTTAAGCCAAATTATAACTCTGGTCTAAACCCAATTACCGTTTATTTTTCATTTATCGGAACTTTTTTTAAGAACTTGAACAAATACAATTTAAACTTTTACCATAAACTTTATGGTACTTTTATAATATAATAATATATAATATCATAATATTACAATATAATATAATTATTACTACAATAATTATAATACAATAAGATTCTTTAGAACTTTTATTTTAAAGACTTTTTTCTAAACTTTTTCACAGAAACTTTTAAAATGGAACCGTTTTCATAAAAAGTATGACAAAAACTGTTAAAATGGAACTTTTTAAACAGGTTCCATAAAAGTTTCAACCCCTGAACATTGGTATGTTGTATCGAGATAAGAAACTTGTTTTCGTTTGGCTACTGAGTAATTATAAGTATGATTATTAACATTTACCAAACAATACACTAATCCATTTTTATTTAATTGTTCCTCAAACGATCTTAAGACAAGAATCCTCTATTCTCGGTTCTTCTTGAGCACTTGTGGGGCACATTTAATTAGAATTACTTAAATATTGATAACACGACTGGATAATAAATTATCTTATCTCTACTACCTTGAATAAACACGACATGAAGATATAATTGATGGATCTTTCAAGTTCAGTTACATCAGCGCAGTGTTTGGCTTCATCTTTATAAATAGCAAAAGTTGCATCATTGTTTAATATGTTGGTTGTATAGTAAATGTAATGGAATGCAAATTTAAGAGCTGAGGAACTTAATGTGTATCGCTTAACTCCATAACTCCATATCTCCATGACACATAAAAAATACCATTTAAATTACGATAAAGGTACTTTGAATGGTTGTGATAGTATCTAATTTTATAACTAAAGCTAACATTTTCAAAAGACAAGTATATAGAAACTTACTACGGCATTAATTTATTTTAAAAGTAATTAAGTAGTCAGAACCATATATATTGCTTCCTCACTACCGAAAGTAGGGAAGCATTGTATTCGTGCGAGAGGTTAAACAAATATTTTTGCTCAGAATCGAATATTTCCACTTGCGTTTTACGTTTCAGACATCAAGGATCAAATTTGGTTAGGTGTCTGTCTGTAGTCAAATCGGGTATATCGCCTACTATCGTTTATCCGAATTTCATGAAATTTTCAGGGATTGTGTGGATTGTTGCTTAGATCGTGTCCATATCAATTTCCATCCACCGCTTCCGCTTATGCACAGGCAAACTTATTGTTTTAGATATTCCAATATTGCAGAAACGGCTTGTTCGATATGGGTCAAAGCTGGATAAAAGTTAGGTATTTTAAAAAAAAATAATGTAGTATCAACTTAATAGAATTCTGTACATTGCTTTCTCTTATACATGCGCAAACTTGTCTATTTCTCTAAAATCGCTAGTTCGATTTGGCTCAAATTTGGAGGGAATTTAAGGATTGGTAAAAATATAATTAAATAGGCATCAATTCCATCAAGTGGAAAGAAATCTACTACTCAAAAAAAAAAAATCTTTTAGATCAGAGAATGTATTATTTAACATTCCTATAATGAAGAGAAGAATAGTTGGGGTGTTCAGTCAAAAAGGAAGGCAAAAATAAATTATAATATTTATTTTTGACATATGCCGACGTTTCGATCTGAAGTTCAGGCCTTCATCTGGGCTGTCTC